ACTCAAAATCAGTTAAACGCTATAGGGTCCAGCCCTCTAGGGTTCTGTGAGGCCCTCCCTGCTGATGCAGAGATGAAAAACTGTAGAAATAAAAGACACAGACACAGAGATAGAGAAGAGAGTTTGGGCTCAGGGGTCCACTGCCAATCAAAGCTCGGAGACCTGCAGTGGCACCGAGTGCCTGGACACTCTGACTTTTATTGAGTACAAAGCAGTGGGCAGGGAAGGTAGGGTGAGGTAATGGTGGTAAGTGATAGGGTCGGGTAAATCACATGTCTTGGAGATAGGGGGCCCAATACTTTCAAGTAGCTGAGGTGAGGAGAAAAGCTAATGCATCAGCACTCTTTGAATATTTGTCAGAAACATCAAGGACACTAAGACTATGTTACTATTAATTCTTATCTTTTAAGAAAAAGAAAAACCAGGTGTAGAAGCAGGGTGTGAGAGCAGACATGGAACGTGATCACTGAAGCACAGCATCACAGAGACAATGAAGCCCCCGCAGGTCTGTTCTGTGGATTTCCCTGATAGTTGTCAGGCCTTGCCACAGAGCTTGGAGAAGCGGAGTTTTCTAACTTCCCCAGGAAGGCGATGTCTCGGTCATTTTGAACATTTCCTTCCCTAGCCGGCTAAACAGCGGGCACTTTCACAGCATTGGCGCTGCCGCACAGCTGAGGTGACCTCTAACAGCCCTGAGGTGGGCGTGACAAAGGGCTCAGAGCATCTTGCCTCAGGATCACTTTGTTCACAATGTCTTCTCACCTCAGTTCCATGCTTCATAACCTGATGGTTATTAGTAAAATTAAAGGTTATATCGAGTATATATCTTTATGATTATAAGTAACTATAAGATTATATAAAGGAATAACTATGTTTTAATTCTAATTCTTTTCTAAATCAGTATTTCTATGGGAACAGGCTGAGGCTTCAGACCCTTGCCACGGCACCTGTGCAGTTTCTCCCCTATAAAACATAACTGATAAAAATGGAGTTTAAATATGGCAGTAAGTCAAGCCAACCTAAGATATATGTGGAACAGCACTACGTAAGCGATTACACATTAGCTTGTATTAATACAATGATGGACTGGAATTTGGAGATACTTGGGACAGTGGAAGCAGCTGTGAGATAGGAATTCATCAGGACTAGTTTCCAAGACAGGAGAGACAGTAAACCACAGGTCAGAAGACGCCACCCATAAGCAAGGATACAGTAAAGAAACCAGCCAGAACCAAGATGGTGACAAAAGCAAGCTTCTCTACTATCATACGCTAATCCTAATGCCTGAGCACGCTAAAAACACCCCCACCAGCACCATGACAGTTTCCAAATGCCATGGCAAGATCTGGAAGTTACCCTATATGGTCTGGACCGGGGACTCCTGGTTCCACAGAATCCCTGTCTCTTTTCCAGGAAACTCAGGAATAATCCACCCCTTGTTTAGCATATAATCAAGAAATGGCCATAAAATAGGCAGTTAGCAGGCCTGCTGCCCACCTGCCCCACCCCACCCTGCCTATGGGGTAGCCATCCTTTCATTCCTTTATTTTTTAATAAACTCGCTTTCACTTTCACTGTTGCTCACTCTTGAATTCTTTCCTGCATGAAGCCAAAACTGACTTGGCCTCCAGAGCTGAGCCTCAATTTTGGTGTCCTGCAACAGTTGTAGAAGATCCTTGAATGGTTTACCTATACACTCCAGACCTATCAAATCCCATCCTCCAATACGCCTAAATGCTTCATGTAATCCATGGATATTATGAATAAACAGACTCATGCTGATACTGTATTAATAACAAGCTTCTCCTTGGCATCAAATACGTACAGGAGGGAAACTGAGTGACTTTTTCCAGTTACCACCCTAACATCGGCATCTGATTGCAAAGGGGAATCCACTAGCAATGGCCGTCACGTACCCTTTGTGACTCTATGTTATTTCTTAGGCCCAAAATCTTTTTTGGAAGACCTGTGTTTGGGGAAGACAGAGTTACCCTTTTGAAAAATTGTGCAGACTACACTTTAGAAATCACTTTGAATGAAAAAATTAGTTTTGCAAGGACAGTACCTACCTGTAAAATAAACTTAACAGCCCTGGTGCAAAGCACTTCTCCATAGGGAAACTATTAAACTGAAGCTGATTAACAGTACTTCTCAAAATGTAAATGCATCTTAACAAGGTCCTTTTTTTTTTTTTTTGACAGAGTTTTGCTCTTGTTGCCCAGGCTGGAGTGTAATGGTGTGATCTTGGCTCACTGAAATCTCTGCCTCCTGGGTTCAAGTGATTCTCCTGCCTCAGCCTCCTGAATAGCTAGGATTATAGGCACCAGGCACCTGCCACCACGCTCGGCTAATTTTTTGTGTTTTTAGTAGAGACAGGGTTTCACTTTGTTGGTCAGGCTGGTCTGAAACTTCTGACCTCTGGTGATTGACCTGCCTTGGCCTCCCAAGTGCTAGGATTACAGGTGTGAGCCACTGAGCCTCGCCAACAAGGTCCTTTGCATGCACAATTCTGATTTAGTAGATTTAGGGTAAGGTCTGAGACTCAGTATTTCTAACAATCTCCAGCTGATGCTATTGCTGCTAGTCTGGGGATTATCCTGAAGTGCAAGGGGATGGACAGACATTAGAGAGACCAGGCAGAATTCAGAGGCTAGATACAGAACAGCAAACCAGGCACTGAGACTTCAAAGTCTCGAGACCCAGAGTTTTGTTCTTTTCTTTTTTTGAGATGGAGTCTCGCTCTATCATCAGGCTAGAGTGCAGTGGCATGATACCAGCTTCCTGCAACTTCCGTTTTCCGGTTTCAAGCAATTCTCCTGCCTCAGCCTCCTGCGTAGCTGGGATTACAGGCATGCACCATCATGCCGACTAATTTTTTTTTGTATTTTTTGTAGAGACGAGGTTTCACCATGTTGGCCAGGATGGTCTTCATCTCTTGACCTCATGATTCATCCGCTTCGGCCTCCCAAAGTGTTGAGATTACAGGCGTGAACCACCGCACCTGTCCCAGAGTTTTGTTCTTTAAGATGCAATCTAGCCACCTTTTTTTTTTTTCCAAATTAAAACGTAGGTTTAATGCAATTTCAATCATCATGCCAAAAGGATTATTTTGGAAACAGACTAAATTATTTCAAGGTTATTCTAGAATAGGCAAAAACAACAACAAACAAAAATGAATGTGGGAAGGGATGGGAGAGAATAGAAAGGGGAGTAAAATTATGTGACTAAGGCGGCATCAAGCATCATTGGGAAAGGAAATAAACAGTGGAGAACTGTTTAGCTATTTGGCAAAATGAGCAGACAAAAAAGCTCAAAACAGAAAAGCAGCTAATTTAGATCCTCACCTCATAATATGCCTCTCCTTCCAATGAATTCTAGATGGATGAACCTTAAAACACCAAGAAAAACACAAAACCCCCACAAGAGAAGTCAATGTTTAACAAACCCAGGGGTGAAGATTAAACTTAGAATTGGAAGAAACAAAAGGAAAAAAAATTGATAGCTGACATTCTGTGCATGTGTATCCTCTGTATTTAAAAATAACACTAAAAGGCCAACCAGGAAAATGTTTATGTTATGACAAATGAATAGGAAAATAAGTACATCAAACCTAGAGTCTTCAAAAGACAACAGAAAAGTGTGTTTTGAACTGCGGGGCTCCAGATCCCATCCCCTTTGCTTTTCCCCTAGGGGTTTATTCTCATCAACGTACATTCAAGTCTTTCACATTAAAATAAAATTAACAAGAACCTGAGCCCTCACCATGTCCTTCCTCAGCTATCCGTTTGCTCATTATTACAGCAAATCTTTTCCAAAGGCTCCATTCCCACTTCCTCACCTCCCTTTCCTTTTTCACAGTGCTCCATCTGGCATCTGCCCCACCACTCCATTAAAACAGCTCTCATCAAAACTGCAATCTTCATCTCGGGCCAGTTCTCAATCAGTGCCCAATACAGCCCACTCATCCCTGTGAAACACTTCCTCCTTTGGCTTTCCTCCCTCCAATCGCACTGGCTATTTTCTTCTTAGTTGCCTTTGTTGGTGTCTCCTCTACCCAAACTCCAAATTGGCACAGTACAAAAGGTGGCCCATTAGTCAGGTCACTATAGACTCCTTGAAACATGGCTAGTCTGTGAGATGTGCTATAAAATTAAAATATGCATTTGACTTTGAAGATGAAGATTTCTTTTGAAGACTTAGTACATGTTGAAAGCACAGTGTTTTGCATTTACAGGGTCAAACAAAAGAAATTAACTTCACCTGTTTCATTTGACTTTCCTCTTGATGCGGCTAGAAAAAATGTAAGCCTATTATCTGTGGCTCGCATCAGATTTCTATTGGTTAGTGCTGTTCTAAATGTTGGTGGTGTCCTCGAGTTCGTCTTGCTCCTCCTCAGCCTTGCCATCATGGAAACAGTAACATTATCCACGCCCATCACGGAAACAGTAACATTATCCACGCACTGGCTCATATTAGAGGCACAGAAAGGTAGACAGCAGTATTTTCAGACAATGGGAGTGTCCATAGAGCAGGATTCCCAGGGTTCCTATACATTAGATTGCTTTGAGGAACTTACCCCTACCCATTATGGTTTTTAGTTTCTCCTTTGTACTGTATCTAAAGGAATTTAAGAAACCCTCCCCATCTGGCTCTTTTGTTTTTCTCTTTTATAAAGTCCACAGTCTGTAATGGTAAAGACGTAAGCAAGTTCCTAAACTCTTTCAGGCCCTAGAATTCTAGTCATGTTTGAGGAGAATGCAAGCACTGTTTCTCTAAAGATTTATCTAACAAATATGCTGCCTCTGATCATGCCAGTTCCATCAATTCAACAGAAGAGACTGAAATCTGTCCCAGTTGTTATACAAGAAAACTGAAGTTGGGAAAGCAAAAGACTTGATTTCATGCATATCTTAAAAACAGTAGGGTTCTGGAAAAGATATACATGTAAGTCAAGATTCAATATTTAAACTTCAAACTCATAAAGCATCAAAACTACTAACCATTCTATAAGCACTCCTTTCAAGACGTTGACCATCTTTTCTCAGTCAGAAGGTTCAGATGACCTCAAGAATGCTAATAAAAAGAAAAAGGTGACATTAAATTAAAAATCATTAACTTTCATATATTTTGGGGATGTGCCTCTGAAATGAGGCAACATATTAAACGTCAATATTTAACAGTTAAGTCTATGAAAGACAGTTAACATTAAAGAAAAGAGACATACTGATTTTGTAACAAAATTAAAACGAGTCTGCTTGGAATATTAATGCCACATCTTACTTGCTAACTATTCTACCCACGGTCAATTAGCTCTAATAGAAGCAAGCGGCCTAACTACACCAGTGTACCCAATCCAGGTGTAAACCATCCAGTAATCAAAGGATTTCTTTTCCCATTCAGGATAATGACAAAGGGTAAGATCCTGAAAAACAGGAATCAAAGAAGACACTTCTGAAAGGTGCTTCAGAAATTACAGTGAGCCCAACCACCTCATTTTATTGAGACAAGGTCTGGCTCTGCCGCCCAGGCCGGAATGCAGTGGCCCGATCTCCGCTCACTGCAGCCTTCGCCTCCCAGGTTCAAGCAATTCTCCTGCCTCAGCCTCCCGAGTAGCTGGGACTACAGGAATGAGCCACCAAGCCTGGTTCATTTACTGTATTGTCCAGGCCAACACAGTGAAACCCCGTCTCTACTAAAATATAAAAAATTAGCTGGGCGTGGTGGTGCGCGTCTGTAGTCCCAGTTGCTGAGGCAAGAGAATTGCTGGAACCAGGGAGGCGGAGGCTGCAGCGAGCGGAAATCGCGCCACCGCACTCCAGCCTGGCGCCTGGCCACAGAGGGAGACTCTGTCTAAAAAAAAAAAAAAAAAAAAAATTTACTGTATTGTATTTTGTGTGTGTGTACATATATATATATATACACATATAAAAAGATATATATATATATATATATTTTTTTTTTTTTTTTAATTTGAGACTGAGTCTAGCTCTGTCGCCCAGAGTGGAGTGATCTCGGCTCACTGCAATCACTGCCTCCAGGGTTCAAGCGATTTCAGGCTGGTCACGAACTCCTTATCTCGAATGATCCACCTACCTCGGCCTCACAAAGCGCTGGGATTACAGGCGTGAGCCACCGCACCCGCCCAATTTATTGTATTTTTATTGGAGCTGGGGGTTTCACCATGTTGGCCAGGCTGGCCTCGAACTCCTGGTCTCCAGTGATTCGCCCGCCTCGGCTTCCCAAAGTGTTGGGACCGCAGGTGTGAGCCACCGCACCCGGACCCAACCACCTCATTTTACAGATGAGGAGACCAAAGGAACAGATTAAGTCCTAGGTCCCGGGAAAGTTAAAAAAAAAAAAAGGACAAGCCAGATCTCGTGCTCCTTCATTAAATAAACCACATCCCCCGCGGACCTAGGCTGGAAGGCAACCACTCAGCGTCCGCCCACTTAACCTTCCACTTACACCTGGGTGCAAAGCGAGCCGCCCCACAGGAAACCCACGATTAAAAATGATTGCGGGACCGGCGTGCAGCTCCGCCAGGAAGGGCCCGGAGAGAGTGCAGAACACCGCCCTGTGCCCCCAGCACCCGGTGGACAGGCTTCTGGGACTTTTCTCTTCTTCCCCTCTCTCTTTGGAACCCCTCAGTCTTCCCGCACCCTACTATCCCCACCCGCTCCAACGCTCGCCACACACACCTCGGCCCACAGATGCAAAAGCGCCTCGGCGTCGCCGACAGAGTGCGCCTGCGTCTATACGTCATCGCGCTAGGGACGCTGTTGAGGGTGGAGCGAGCCGGCGGGAGGCAGGCCCGCAGCGGGCCGAGGGGGCGGGGTCGTGAACCGCCCGCCGCCTGGTGGAGGGCCCGGGCCCGCCACCGCAGAGAGGGCTCCCCAGCCTACGGGGTGCGGCGAGTGGTTGGAAACTGGCCGAGTCCGCGTGCCGGCAGGTAGGACGTGGAGGCCCGGCTGGTGTGGGGGCGGACGGGGGCGTCGGCGTAGCTGGGCGCGGTAGGCAGTGGAGAGAGGGGAGGGCGGGGGCCTGGCACGGCCGGGCACCACTGTGAGGCGCGCGGACCCGACCGATCCGCGGACGCTCTGCGGAGCGCGAGGGCCTCTTTCTGGTAGTCGCGAGCCTGACTCGTCTTTCCCGGTCGCTGCCTTTCTCTGGCTGCTGTCGAAGCCTCGGGGAGTGCACCTGCCAGTTGGTCTTCCCGGGCTCGGTAGTCACGGAGAGATAATGAGGACAAGTAGGAAACCGCCTCACCGGTCACATCTGAGCCTTCCCGACTGCTGCTTCCTGCTCCCTCTCTAACCCCATAGATTGAACAGATTGAATGCCGAGACATCTCTAAAACTCGGCAACGGTCATTTTAAAGTGAAAGACCCCAGAAGGTTCTAAAGTTATTCTCTTACCCCAAATCTGTTCTGCAGTCTAAAGGAACACTCCTCATTATTTTTACTAGTTAAGATATGAGGTTCTTGTTTTCTGTTCCTTAGATTAAATTCTATTTCCCCAATTAAGCTCATGCTGCTTTTTTTTTTTTAATCTTTTCTTTTTAGAGATAGTCTCGGTCTGTCGATCAGGCTGGAATGCATTGGTGCGATTAAGCTCATGCTGCTTTTTTTTTTTTTCTTTTCTTTTTGGATATAGTCTTGGTCTGTCGGTCAGGCTGGAATGCATTGGTGCGATCTGGGCTCACTGCATCCTTGGTCCCCTGTTCAAGCAGTTCTCCTGCCTCAGTCTCCGTAGTAGCTGGGATTGCAGGCGTGTGCTACCACGCCCAGCTTATTTTTATATTTTCAGTAGAGACAGAGTTTCGCCATATTGGCCAGGCTGGTCTGGAACTCCTGACATCAGGTGATCCGCCTGCCTTGGCCTCCCAAAGTGCTGGGATTACAGGCGTGAGCCACTGTGCCCAGCCTCATGCTGGTTTTTTATTTTTATTTTTTAACATTGTGTTTATTCATGTGATCTCTTGGGAACCCAGCTCTTCCATTTAGTTCCCTCTTTCTGTCCCTCAAATATTTTCCAGCTGGTGATTTCTGTATTGTTGCACTCTCTTTACAATAACAAAATTGTCTCCAAGTCTTCTTCTTCCCAATAATCTTTTATTTGCTTTTTTTTTTTTTATCTTGCAATACATTCTCTTCCTTGACCTCTTAATCAGTTCCATTTTTATGCACCTGATGTGTACCAGCTATTCTAGGCACTTGGGGTACAATGATGAATCAGAAACTAATTTTGGTGGGGTCAGAGAGACACTGAAATCAGTTAAGGAGAAGGTACCATTTGATGATGTGATAAAGAGTAACTAGAAGGGTTATTTTGGCCAGGGGTATGTCAGAAATAGCCTTCAGGAAGAACTTTGCATTTAAAAACCTATATACCAGTAACAACTAGGAGTTTTAATAATAAAAAGACACTATTCATAATGGCATTCACAACTAAAGGTATCTAGAAATAGATCGGTCTAAACTGTGTGGTCCTTTAGACAGAAAAGTATAAGTTTCTGTTGGAACACAAGATGACCCAGGTAAATGGTTACATATACCATATTCATGGATGGAAAGACCCAACAAGAAGATACCAGTTTTACCAATTTCTGTGAATTTAGTGTGATGCCAATTAAAATCACTGTATGGTTTTATGGAACTTGACATGCTGAACTTAAAATTTATATGGAAAGGCAAAGGACCAAGAATTGGGAAGTCAATTTTGAAGAAGAAGAAAAATAAGGTCTGTCCATATTAGATACCAAAGCTTAATATGAAGTTGTAATTATCAAGATGGTGTGGTATTGATTCAGGGATAGAGAAGTAGGTTCATGGAACAGAACAGAGAAACTAGAGACATACCTATTTACATATGGCAGCTTAGTATACCACTGAGTGGTGTTGCAAAGCAAGGGGAAAGCATAGACTATTCAATAAAGGATGGTAAGATATGTGAGATATGTGGCATCATTATGGAATACAGCAGATAGGATTAGATTCTTGCTTTCAAACTATTGACAACAGTAGTTTCCAGGTAGATTAAAGATCTAAATGTGAATGGCATAGCTGCAAGATATTTGAAAAGAAATAGAAGAGACCATTGTCTCTGTGAAAGATTTCTTTTTTGTTTGCCTGTTAAATCTTGTTACACATAAGATTCATCATGTTAACCATTTTGAGATGTTGAGTTTGGTGACATTCACATTGTGCAACCAGCACTACTATCTCCCAAACTTTTGTTTAAAATCTTTCTGAGTAATCTTAAGTTACAGAAAGGACCATTGAGGTGACATTTTATTACTCCAAATGAAAGATGATGGTGGTTTGAGCTAGACAATAGTGTAGCAGTGAATACAGAGAAAAATGGATGGATTTTGGGGTACGTTTTGATGTAAGAGAAGAGAAATTATGCATGATTTGGATGTAGTGCAAGGGGAAAACAAGGAATCAAGGGCAACATCTGTTTTTTTGTTTAAGAGGAAGATTATTTACCATTTACAATAAAAAAGCATTGACCATTTGGTGGATGGTGATCGAGAAGATTTGTGGAGGAAGAATTTGGGGAGAAAAATAATTCTCTTTTGGATGGTTAAGTATGAAAAGTCTACTGGACATCCAAGTGGAAATGTTCCAACAGCTGTTGGATAGATGGGTCAGGAAAGACTGTAGCTAGAGATACTCTTAGATCTGGCATATAGATATTAAAAACTGTGATGTGGGCCGGTTGTGGTGGCTCACGCCTGTAATCCCAGCACTGTGGGAGGCCGAGGCGGGTGGATCATGAGGTCAGGAGATTGAGACCATCCTGGCTAACATGGTGAAACCCCGTCTCTACTAAAAATACAAAAAAATTAGCTGGACGTGGTGGCACGTACCTGTAATCCCAACTACTCGGGAGGCTGAGGGAGGAGAATCGCTTGAACCCAGTAGGCGGAGGTTGCAGTGAGCCGAAATTGCGCCACTGCACTGTAGCTTGGGCGACAGAGACGCCATCTCAAAAAAAAAAAAAAAAAGAACTTTCAAATATTTGTTAGAATTAGATTCAGCTATATTACTCAGAAAACAAGATAATATTGGCTTAAATATGTATATGATTGCATAGGTAGGCAGCCTTGCTTTTATGGCAGTAGCTCTGTAATCATCAGGGACTCAAATTCTTCTATCTGGCTGCTCTACCGTCCTTAATATGATGCTTCATGGTAAGATGACTGCTTTAATTCAAACTGACAGTTACTCATTCTAGCAAGAGGGAGGAGGGAAGGAGAAAGAAAGGCACATAGCCTTATTTTTAAGGACACTTTTCAGAAATTGCATATGACACATCCACTCATATTTCATTAGCCAGTGTTAGTAAGTGCCCACAGTTAACCAGAAAGAAAGATGATGTAGTCTTTTTTGTTATCTGTGTACCCAGCGACAATTCAGGTTTTATTAATCAGAATGAAGGGATGAAATGATGTTTCAGTCTGGCTGCTGCTTCTACCAGGGCAATGAAGCTTCTGTTATGAAGATCCCAGTGACCTCCATAGTGATAAACTTAATGGTATTTTTGAATATTTGATTTTTAAATTATCTGTTCCATTTTACTTTCTCTGTCTTTGTCTCCTCAAAATTTCTCCTCTGTTCTCTACTTAAAATCAGTGTTTCAGATTTTATGTAATCACGATCATAATCTTAAAGGTACTTTTAAATAGAAATTGACAGGCAGACTCTAAAATTATGTGGAAGTGCCAAGGACCTACAATAGTCCATCTTGAAAAGGAAGGACGTAGCTGGAGAATTTATGCTACTAGCTTCAAGACTTACTTTAAAACTGTGGTAATCTAAACAGTGAATTATTTATATAAGGATAGATAAATATGTTGATGGAGTGGAATAGCTCCACACTTATAAATTCCATTAGGGTTTTGTTTTTTTTTTTTTTTGAGATATGAGTCTCACTGTGTTGCCTAGGCTGGTGTTGGGCTCCTGAGCTCAACCAGTCCTCCTGCCTCAGGCTTCTGAGTAGCTGGGATTACAGACATGTGCCATAGATATAGTCAGTTGATTGGTGTGCTCAAGCAATCATCCCACCTTGGCCTCCCAGAGCCACCCCCGCCTAGCCTGGAGTGCCACCATGCTTGGCCGTATGGTGTACTTTTTATTGTTATTTTATAGTGTATTCCTTTATTCCCTCTACTTATGAAAAAAAATAAAATTTACTGTAAAACAGTATACCAAGTTAAGCTGGCAGCAGACTCATTTATCTCATGTAAAGGAAGGTTTGGAACAGGCCAGGCATGGTGGCTCATGCCTGTAATCCCAGCACTTTGGGAGGCTGAGGCGGGCAGATCATGAGGTCAAGAGATCGAAACCATCCTGGCCAACATAGTGAAACCCTGTCTCTACTAAAAAATACAAAAATTAGCTGGGCATGGTGGTGCGCACCTGTAGTCCCAGCTACTTGGGAGGCTAAGGCAGGAGAATTGCTTGAACCCGGGAGGTGGAGGTTGCAGTGAGCCAAGATCGCTCCACTGCACTCCAGCTTGGTGCCTGGCGACAAAGTGAGACTCTGTCTCAAAAAAAAAAAAAAAAAAAATTACATGTCAGCTTTTTGAGGCATTATAAACCATCTCAAAGGCTACCTGCTAAAACAGACATTTATTATTGCTTGCAGTCTAAGGGTTGAATATGGATTTGTAGGGTCAGCTAGGGGCTGGGTAGTTTGATGTGGCTTCACATGCCTGGTGGCTGGTGCTGGCTGTCAGTTGGTACTTGTTGGCTTCATTAATGGGGATATTGGACATTTCTCATGTGACCCAGCAGACTAACCTAGGCATCTTTACTTGGTGCTGGTCACAGGGTTCTCAAGAGCAACAGGAGAGAAGCCTGGACGTGCATCTACTGCCTAAGTCTCAGCTTGGCAGTTATGTTTCCATTGTCCTGTGGCCAAAGTCACTCATAAGACCAATCAAAAGTCACTATGGGAGGGAACTACCAAAGAACATGGTTATAGGAAAAGGAATAATTTGTGGTTATTTAAAAAAAATCTGTACTTAATACAACAACTGTGTGTAAAAAAGCACGCAAGTGTGAAAGTGAGCCACCTGGAAATTTTAGAAATAAAAAGTTATTGAAATACTCAGTGGATGGATCGAATGATAGTCTAAACACAACTAAATAGAGGATTAATTAATTGGAAGATTAGATTTGGGGAAATAATCTGTAATGCATGTTAGAGAGATAGAAAAAAATGGAAGGAGTTGAGATTTGAAGGTTAGACTTTAAAAATCTAGCATATATCTAACATGAGTACCAGAAGGTAAAAGTTGAACGGGGGTCAAAGTGATAATTGTTAAGAATATTGCAGAATCGAAGAAAAATGTGAGTTCTAAGATTGAAGGAGCATACCAAATCTTGAGTGGGGTATATAAAAACAAACCCGTATGTAGACATAAAGTAGAGAATTATAAGAACATCAAAAACAAACCAAAGATCTTCAAACTGCCAGATAGAACATAATATTGATACCAATGATAAGTAAGATTTATTGAACATTTAATTTGGAATAGGCACTATTCTATGTGTTTTACATATATTAACTCATGTAATATTTGTAACAATCCTTTATAGTAGTTCCCTTATTATCGCCATTTTGTAGATGAGGAAAGTAAGACACAGAGAGGTTAATTAATTAGCTCATTATCATGTATCTAGTGTTTTAAAATGTACCTGGATTTTGTTTTAATCAGGTATGGTAAGAAGACAGACACGGAGACAACTGCCTTGAAAGAAGAGTTTATGGCCGGGTACTGTGGCTCACGCTTGTAATCCCAGCACTTTCCGAGGCTGAGGCGGGCAGATCACCTGAGGTCAGGAGTTTGAGACCAGCCTGGCCAACATGGCAAAACCCTGTCTCTTAAAAAAAAGAAAAGAAAGAAAGAAGAGTTTATTATGTATAGGTCCCAAGGAATAATGGGCACACCACACCATACAAGGCCACATGGGGAAGTACCAGGGTCATTCAGGAGGAACCTGAGCAATGTGAAAGCATGGGCCAGAGCTTGCTTTTATTGTGTTTTTTGTGGGAAGGAATGAGCGAGACAGGGTAGACAAGCTGAACAAATTTAGGATGAGATCGTTTGAATAATTTTGACAGGCCAGAGAGGTGGTCTGTAGTTGTCCAGTACCTGGCTCTGAGGAGATAGAGAGTAACGGAAGCGTCATCAGCTGTATGTGGTGGTTGGGGTGTACACCTGGGACTGGTTGGTTTGCATGTGAGAGGCATGCTCACAGGCAAGTTGTTTGCTACCTCTAGCAGTTAGCCATCCCAGAGAGGGGCAGTCACTCCCTAGGTTCTTAAGGTCCTAAGATGTCAAAGCATCGTTAGAAAAAAAAATGGCTAATATGAGTTGTTGGTGGAACTGGATTTGAAACCAACTAGTATGGTCCTACAGAGCACATTCTTAAACTTCTTTGCTATTATTTTGCCTGCAAAGAAACAATAATTAGACTTAGATTTTTCCTGAGCAACAAAAAATATCAGTGAAAATATCATTAATGTAATGAAGGAAATCTGTTATTCTAAATACTAAACTAAGAATTCCAAACCCAGCTATTATTATTATTTTCTGAGACAGAGTCTTACTCTGTCTCCCAGGCTAGAGTGAAGTGCATGATCACGGCTCACTGCAACTTCTGCCTCCCAGGTTCGAGCAATTCCCTTGCCTCAGCCTCCTGGGTAGCTGGGACTGCAGGTACATGCCAATGGGTCTGGTTAATTTTTTCTTCTTTTGGAGAAATGAGGTTTTACTGGTCTTGAACTCCTGGGCTGGTCTAGAGCTCCTGGGCTCAAGCAGTCTGCCCACCTTGGCCTTCCAAATTGCTGGGATTATAGACATGAGCCACCACGCCTGGCCCAAACACAGCTATTTTTTAGTATATCTGAAATTGAGCATTTTTAGACATGCCGAGAGTGAGAGTGCTAAGTACATATATGCCTTCATGAAAACTATCAAAGGATATACCTTCATCAAGAATGATTTGGACCTAGAAGGAAGTTGTGGATGCAAGAAACAAAAGGAAAGAAATTGACAAAATTTTGGTAAATATTTAGATTGACTGCTTTAAAAAATGACTTCTTTTGGGATGTTTAAAAATAAAATGGAATTAAAATACTAGACAAAAATACCTAAGATAGGAGAGGATTGGATTTAAAGCATTTTAATTTTCTCATTTGGAAGGATAATTATATTGTTTAAATTCATACTTTATATAGCACATTTAAAGTGTAACTGTTTACTGAAGGAATAGAAATAAATGGTATAACTTTAAACCAATTAAAGAGTAATAAAATCTTGATCTATCCAACATATGATAAATGTAAATGGATTAAATTCATCTATTAAAAGAGAGGTTTTGAAATTATAAATGATACCAAAAGATTATAACCATAATGGAAAAAGGTAAAATAGTTAAATACTTTAGAGGAAACTGGCATGGATATATTAATATATGAAACAGAACTTAAAGCAATAAATATTCATAGAGATAAAGGAAGATAGTATGTGATGTCAAAAGGAAGAAAGTACTGTTTCTAATAATCATGAATCTGTCGGTACCTAATGGCATATCTTTTCACATCATGACCCCCAAAAAAAGGTAGTATTTGTTTGCCACACTGATGGGGTGTTCTGCACTAGAGCATAAGATCTATGAAAGCAAGGGCATTTTGTTTTCATTGTTTAGTCATTAGCATCTACAACAGTGCTTGGTTCATAGGGACTCAGAAAAGGATTTGCTTAATGAATTAAAAAATGGACAACGAAAGGGGAAAAATGACAAGTTTACAAATCAGGATGAAACTTTAAAAAAAACCCTTTCATACTGGTAGATCATGCAGACAAAAATTAGCAAGGCTACTCAATGGCTGTCTGGAGCTGTGAAAAAAAGTTAGCAAGACTATAGAAACAAAATTAACAAGCCTAGTATAATGGATATATTCTGCTCACAACAAAAGAATAAATTTATATGATACATTTATAGATATTAACTGGAACCAGGTAACAAAGCAAGTCTTTATAATTTTAAAGGATCTATGTCACATAGCACAATAAGATGTAATCTTTGCCTGTAATCCCAGCACTTTGGGAGGCCGAGGCAGGTGGATCACTTGAGGTCAGGAGTTCAAGACCAGCCTGGGCAACATGGTGAAACCCTGTCTCTACAAAAAAATACAAAAAATTCGACAGGTATGGTGGTGGGCACCTGTCATCCCAGCTACTTGGTAGGCTGAGGTGGGAGGATTGTTTAAACCTGGGAGGCGGAGGTTGCAGTAAGGGGTGATTGCACAACTATACTCCAGCCTGGGTGACAGAGCCAGACCCCGTCTCAAAAAAAATAAAGATAATCTTTAAAAATTTTATATACTGGCAAACTAAAAGCCACACTCTTAAAACAGTTCACAGATTAGAGAAAAATTACAGTGGAATTTAAGAGTGAGAATTTATAGTCTTTTTTTTTTTTTTTTGAAACAGGGTCTCACTGTTGCTGAAGATGGCAGTCTGAAGTACAGTGGCATGATCTCAGCTCACTGCAGCCTCCACCTTTCAGGTTCAAGCAATTCTCCCATTTCAGCCTCCCGAGTAGCTGGGGCTACAGGCGGGTACCACCACACCTGGCTGATTCCTTTTGGTAGAGCCAGGGTTTCACCGTGTTGGCTAGGTTGGTCTTGAACTCCTGACCTCAAGTGATCTGCCCGCCTCAGCCTCCCAAACTGCTGGGATTATAAGAATTTGTAGTCTTAAATGCATTTGTGAAAGAACAATAAATGCTCGTCTTAGGCATTATTGAAGAAGTTAGGAAAAGGACAGGGTGCACTCAAAGAAAGAAAGAAGAAAAAAAGAGCAAAAAAAGAAAACAAAACAAAAGAGAGAGGTACCTTCAAGGTACCTCCTTCCTTCCCCTGACAGCAAAAATCTCACTATCCACAGACAATCTGATATGGTTCTAGAATACTGAGTTGTGTTCTGGGAATGATTGCATCATATTTAGATAATCTTTACTTAGTTGATTAATTAGTTGAGTGTCAGCTCTCCTTTGATAGAATGCCAACAATTAACAAATCTCAAAATTTTTAAACAATGTGGGTACTCTATCCTGAAGGAACTAGAGAAAAGCTAAATGTGTCTGGATTCTAAGTGTACCGTCCATGTAGAGCTTCTCATTTCTGTAGGGCCTTCAGTCATCAGAGATAAATACATACACATATGTATATTTTCAAAGACATTAAATTTTTTTCATGCCTGTATTGGTATTCTGATTAATAATGTAATTCTGATTACCTATTAATTCTTGTGTTCTGGGACTGATTGTATCATATTTAGATCATCTTTCCAATTGTGAAAACTATGCGTGATTAGACATAGTATGAGGAAGAATAATGAAAATACTAACAAAATATAATTTAATAAGTCTCTCTTAAGTTTTTAAGGGAGAATTTTTTTTTTTTTTTTGAGATGGAGTCTCGCTCTTGTTGCCCAGGCTAGTGTGCAGTGGTGTGATCTTGGCTTACTGCCACCTCGGCCTCCCAGGTTCAAGTGATTCTCCTGCCTCAGCCTCCCAGGTAGCTAGGATTACAGGTGTGCACCACCATGCCTAGGTAATTATATATTTTTAGCAGAGACAGGATTTCTCCATGTTGGTCAGTCTGGTCTCGAGCTCCCGACTTCAGGTGATCTGCCTGCCTAGGCCTCCAAAGTGCTGGGATTACAGGTGTGAGCCATCATGCTTGGCCGAGAAATTTTTTTTAATTGGAAAGTTTTTTTTGTGATCTTGAAAAAGCTAACTCTGTGGGTCATCCACTGTGATGGTAACATGTTCTTGTAGTTAAATGTTTTGAATTAGATGCTAAATTAAATTTGTTGTAATTGTTCTACTTGCACAGAATGTCCCTGGCTGCTTATTGTGTCATCTGTTGCAGAAGAATAGGAACCTCTACTTCCCCACCAAAAAGTGACACATACTGGAGAGATATCAGTGAGTACAGCTTAAACAACTTATTTTCGTATAGAAACAGGGTTAGACTTGTGGCTTTTTCCAGGGCGGGCCACAAAAACTTATTGAACCCATGATGAAATCTCAAATTAGTTTATGTCTTTCTGTACTAATAGTCCACCCCAAATTTATAGGACCAGAGCCATACGTACTTCTTTTCCTTGAAAATTCTTTTCCCTCTTCTACTTCTGTCAAATTTCATACTCATCATCCTAAACTTAAATAGAACTGCATTTTCATTCAGCAGATATTTATTAAACTCTTGCAAAACAAAGTGCTAGGCACCCATATTAGGTTCTGGGCATACAGTGATGAGCAAGGAAGATGCTGTCCTTGCCTTAGAGGGGCTTGGGATGTGGCTGCAGTCTACTCCATTTGTAGCCTTGCCTTCACTGAGGAAGCTTCTCTGACACCCTAGGCCAGGTTGGATCTGTTACTTGTCATTTCTAGGGTCAGTATAGAACTTAGTTAATTATCTGTCTTTTCCCATATGCTGTAAACCCTGCGAAGGCAGTATTTTATCTTGTTTACCATTATAACCTAGTTATTTATTATGCATGGTATATCGTAGGTGATCAAATAGTATTCGTTGAATGGAAGAATGAAATAACTTACCTTTTCTGAGCATTATTTCCTTTATGTATAAAATGAGAAGATTGGCCTAGAACATCTTTTATTCATTTGGCAATAAGCAAAACTATTTAACTGACCATGTACTCTGCCAGGTACAATACTAGGCCCTAAGAAAACAATATTGAATAAAACAAAGTTTTTTTTCTCATGGAGTTTCTTTTTGGTCTTTAAGACAAATCTGTTTTTAGGGATAGATCATTTTTATCTAGAAAATTCTGATACTGTGTTTTAAATACAAAAAGAGAAGTAAGGACAAATGTCATCTTGGCAGCATAAGTTGAATCTCTGAACAAAGCACTATCTCTATATGTGCAACAAATTATAGGTTAAGGCTGGGTGCAGTGACTGATGCCTGTAATCCCAGCACTTTGGGCGGCCGAAGTGGGCGGATCACTTGAAATCAGGAGTTCAAGACCAGCCTGGCCAACGCAGGTGGCCATCGTGAAACCCCATCTCTACTGAAAATATAAAACTTAGCTGAGTATGGTGGCAGGTGCCTTTAATCTTAGCTCCTCAGGAGGCTGAGGCAGGAGAATCGTTTCCTGGGATTGCAGTGAGCCAAGATTGTGTCATTGTACTCCAGCATGGACAACAGTGAAACTCTGTCTTTTTATATATACATGTGTGTGTGTGTGTATATATATATATATATATATATATAAAATCTATGATATATAAATATATTTTATTATATATAAATATGTATACATATATATACACCTTTATATATACATATATAAAATATATATAAAAATATATGTATATAAAAAATAGATTTTTGTGGGTTATCCTTAGTACCTAATCATCATGAGTACCATGTCAGTTAAGGTTGTGCGCGGTGCATGCAATAGAAACTTGAGTCCAGTGGCTTAATATGGTTTTCATTCTTCTTATTCCATAATAAGTCAAGGTGGAGACAGTTTAGGGCAGGAATTGCAGTTTAGCAATCTTTTTGTCTTCCTGCTCCATTTTTTTCATTGTCCTCACGGTCACAAGATGGTTGCTGAATCCTTGGGCATCAAGAAGCAGAGGACCAAAAGCCATCTTGAGGCTTTGTATTTTTATGTGGGGAGGGATCCGCCTCTGTAGACTTCCATCTATATCCAATTGGCTACAATTGTGTTGCACAGTTAACCCTATCTACAGATTTCTCTGGGAATTTGATTATTTTTAGGTGGCAATCAGATTGCATATTTGTAAGGACTAAAGGGCATGTGTATTGGGCAAGCAATTAGCAATGTCTGCCACGGGAATTTTTTAATATGGAAAAAGTTTTCGAAGACCCAAACAAACATTTATAAACTTGCAGAATATAATCTATATTATGTTATATTATATTATATTATATTTTAATTTAATTTATTTATTTTGAGATGGAGTCTTGCTCTGTCACCCAGGCTGGAGGGCAGTGGTACGATCTTGGCTCACTGCAGTCTCTACCTCCTCACTTCAAGCAGTTCTCCCGCCTCAGCCACCTGAGTAGCTGGGATTACAGGTGCTGGCCACCATGCCCAGCTAATGTTTTTGTTTTTTTTTTTAAGTAGAAACAGGGTTTCACTGCGTTGGCCAGGTTAGTCTTGAACTCCTGACCTCAGGTGATCCTCTCGCCTTGGCCTCTCAAAGTGCTGAGATTACAGGCGTGAGCCACTGCACCTGCCCTAATCTCCATTTTAAATGGGGCTATGTACATCTATACCTTACCATCAATTATAACAATTACTTTAGAAAACATTCTTTTGTGTCGCCACTTGACAATAGAATCCTTCAGTATAGTACTAGTAGTGATAGAGACAGTGCTTCCCATTCCTTTATTTAATTGTTAACTACAAGGGGTCAGAAGGGAAGTGAGTTGCCTGCATGTTGCATTCAGTGGAAGACCTGTAGTCCTACCAGCATCAGTAGTGGAACAGGGACTAGGAAGGGGAGAAACGGGAGTATGAAATGTCATCAATACACATTATATTTGCACTCAGTGTTTAATTGATTGGTGTGTTTGAGGATAGGAGATCATTTATTGATAGCACCTGATTACATTAGTAGAAAAATAATGACTTCTCATCTGATAATATGTGATATAGGTAGAGAATTACTCTGTTGCCTATTTCCTGTCACACTTTAAAAAATGAAATTCATCACATTGACTTTTTTTCTTTTGAAGGAAATATAATAAAGTTTACTGGATCACTTATTTTAGGGTAAGTTGTCAACTGTGGAATATTAATTGGCTTCATTATACTCTATTTGAAATCTCGGTGGAAGTGACTTACAGGTTGCATGGGGTATTCAAAGGGTATAGATTTTGGAATTAGACTGGTGGATTTAATCACTGATTCCACTACTTAAATTGTTGTCATGATATTTCCTTACCTTCTGAGGAATGCTTTCTCTTGGAGCCAGCTGTGTACCAGGAACTCTGCCTACCTGGCACTGCTGCTGTGAGAAAAGCACTTTGACACACTCATGTCAGGCACTCACTTTCCTGTGACACACTTAAAGTCATGTTGTGTGTTAGTTTCTAAAATGGGTGAAAAGGTACAAATTACTATAGTCAAAAGTATTTTGGAAAATCCCTTAAATCACCGTAAAACTCACATGAAAGGAAATTGAGGCTGACTGAGAAAACCAGCAGATTGATATCTCCCATCCAGTGTTCCCTCAGGAACACATGTGTGATGAATGCAGTGACCCTCTTTCAGCAAACTGTTAGTTTTCACATTCCTCCTTTTTTTTTTTTTTAGGGGAGGAATGTATATGTAATACCATCGTACTATATTTATTAATACTTTGTTTTACTAGTACAAATATAAAATTAGCTCAGATAATAAAATGATAAAGGAGATATGTTTGGCATTTTATCCAAATGCATACATTTCTCTATGACACTGTAATGTAAGGCAAAATATATTTAGATAATTTTCCCCTTTGACTCATTCTGGCCAAAGGATAAATGTACACATACCCTTTTCTGTAATGCAGTATGTCTAGCTCACAATTATATTCAGGATATAGTGAAAATTAATACAGTTTTTATTATAGTAAATAATTTTGTCTTTCATGGAAAACATGATAAAAGTACTGAATACATTTACTCCTTTTGTTGGCTGTTCAGATACATCCTCAAGAAAGCAGAGGATTCTTTTTCTTTTTTTGAGACAGGGTCTTACTGTGTAATCCAGGCTAGAGTGTGCAGTGGTGTGATGTCCACTCACTGCAGCCTCTGCCTGCCAGGTTCAGGTGATCCTTCCACCTCAGTGTCCTAAATAGCTAGACCACAGGTGTGCACCACCACACCTGGCTTTTTTTTTTTTTTTTTTTCATATTTAGTAGAGACAGGGTCTCGCCATGTTGCCCAGGGTAGTCTTGAACTCCTGAGCTCAGGTTATCTGCCTGCGTTGGCCTTCTAAAGTACTGGGATTAGAGGCCTGAGCCACCACCCCTGGCCAAGAGCAGAGGATTCTAAAGAACCTTCTTTGTGTTCCTCTGGCTAGCCAGTGTCTAAACTTTGTTTCACCTGCTTGCCTGAGGGTGGAAACCAAAGGTCAGAAGGTGTAGGAAAACAATATTGCTAAGCTCCGAATCCAGAGGACAACCTTTTTGTCAGGATTTAGGGAGTGTGTTGTCAATCTGATTAGGAAAAAAGAAATCGTCATTTTGAGATACACAACAAACAACATTTAAAAGTTAACTTCAATATTGCTCTTAGGAAAGGAGAAACTTTCATATGTGGATGATGGGAGTACACATTGGCTAATCTTTTTGCAAAAAGTTTGTCATTATCTAGCAAAATTGAAGATGTATACTATCAGAGGGTATGTAATTCTAGATACGTACCCTAGAGGAACATGTATGGGTATGCACAGTACAGATATATAAGATATGTCATTTTTTTTTTTTAAGAGACAGGGTTTCACCATGTTGGCCAGGCTGATCTCGAACTCCTGACCTTGTAATCCACCCGTCTCAGCCTCCCAGAGTGCTGGGATTACAGGCGTGAGCCACCGCTCCGGCCGAGATGTATAAGATACATAACAGTGGCCGGGCGCAGTAGCTCACTCCTGTAATCCCAGCATTTTGGGAGGCCAAGGCAGGTGGGTCACGAGGTCAAGAGATTGAGACCATCCTGGCAAACATGGTGAAATCCCGTCTCTACTAAAAAATACAAACATTAGCTGAGCATGGTGGCGCACGCCTGTAGTACCTGCTACTCGGGAGGCTGAGGCAGGAGAATTGCTTGAACCTGGGAGGTGGAGGTTGCAGTGAGCTGAGATCCTGCCACTGCACTCCTGCCTGGCACCTGGCGATACTCTGTCTCAAAAAAAAAAAAGATATGTAACAGCATTGTTGTAATAGACTCAAACTAGAAATGTTCTCACTGCCCATCTATGGAAGAGTGAATAAATAAGTTGTAGTATATCCATCCGTGCAATGGATAATTGCATCCTATAGGAAAATCTAAGTTAAGGAAATACATTTCACATGCAACAACGTGGATGGATCACACAAATACAAGGCTGAGCAAGAGAATTCATGTAGTGTGAGTCCATTGATGTGCATTTCAAAAACAGGCCAAACTAAGCTCTGTTGTTTAAGGATGGGCATATAAGTGGTAAAACTGTAAAGAAAAGTAAGCACATTGTTATAATGAAAATCATAATAATATATAGAGATGAGAACAGGTTATAATCAGGGAGAGGCACACTGTGGGCTTCTGGAGTACTGTTAACATTCTGTTTCTTGTCTGGGTATGATTATGCAGCTATTTATTATTATTTGTAAACTAAGATGTGTATATACATATATATGTGCATATATAGTCATGTGTCAATAATGAGGATATATTCTCAGTAATGTGTTGTTAGCTGATTTCATTGTTGTGCAATCATCACAGAATACACTTGCACAAACCTAGACAGTAGAGCCTGCTACACACATAGGCTGTATGGGACAGCCTATTGCTCCTAGGCTCCACACCTGTACCGCATGTGACTGTGCTGAACACTATAGGCAATTAGAACACAATGGTAAGTATTTGTGTACCTAAACATATCCAAACAAAAAGATGTACAGCAAAAAAATTTTTAAATGGTACACTTATATAGGGCACTTACCATGAATGGAGCTTACTGGACTGTGAGTTGCTCTGGGTGAGTGAGTGGTGAGTGAAGGTGAGGGCCTCAGACATTACTGTGCACTACTGTAGACTTTATCAACACTGTGTACTTAGACTACATGAAACTTTTTTTTTTTTGAGATGGAGTTTTACTCTGTCACCTAGGCTGGAGTGTAGTGGTGTGATCTTGTCTCACTGCAACCTCTGTCTCTGGGGTTCAAGCAATTCTCCTGTTTCAGCCTCCTAAGTAACTGGGATTACAGGCGCTCGCCACCATGCCTGGCTAATTTTTATATTTTTAGTAGAGATGTAGTTTTGCCATGTTGGCCAGGCCGGTCTCAAACTCCTGACCTCAGGTGATTCCCTGCCTCAGCCTCCCAAAATGCTGGGATAACAGGTGTGAACCACTGTGCCTGGCTAAACTTTGTTTTTTTGGTTTTTTTTTTGTTTGTTTTTTGAGACAGAGTTTCGCTCTTGTTACCCAGGCTAGAGTGCAATGGCGCGATCTCAGCTCACTGCAACCTCTGCCTCCTGGGTTCAAGCAATTCTCCTGCCTCAGCCTCCCGAGTAGCTGGGACTACAGGCGTGTGCCACCACACCCAGCTAATTTTTGTATTTTTAATAGAGACAGGGTTTCACTTTGTTGACCAGGATGGTCTCGATCTCTTGACCTTGCGATCCACCTGCCTCGGCCTCCCAAAGTGCTGGGATTATAGGCGTGAGCCATTGTGCCTGGCCTTTTTTTTTTTTTTTTTAAAAAGACAGACTCTCACTATGTTGCTTAGGCTGGCCTTGAACTCCTGGACTCAAGTGATCCTCCTGCCTCACCCTTGTAACTAACTGGGACTACAGGCATGCATCACTGCACCCAGCTACAATACATTTATAAAACAATGTTTTTTTCTTCAATAATAAATTAACCTAGCTGGATGAAGTATTGTGCGCCTGTAGTCCCAGCTATTCAGGAGGCTGAGGCGGGAGGATTACATGAACACAGAAGTTTGAGGCCAGCCTGGGCAACATAGTTGAGACCCTGTCTCTAAAAATAAATGAAGTCCAGGTTTTAATCATTAACCTCAGCTTACTGTATTTTTTTTTAGCCATAAGCTTAAATTTTTGAAAAACTTTTTGGCCTTTGTAATTACACTTAGTTTAAAACACACACACATTGTATAGCTATATAAAAATATTTTCTTTATATTCTTATTCTATAAACTTTTGTCTATTAAAAAATATTTTTGAGATGAGATCTTGCTCTGTTGCCCAGGCTGGAGAGCAATGGCTACTCATGGGTGCAGTCATAGCATGCTGTAGCCTCGAACTCCTGGGATCAAGGGATCCTCCTGCTTTAGCCTCCTGAATAGCTGAGACTACAGGATTCACTACTATGCCAGCAAATTAAAAAAAAAAAAACTTTAAAAATGTTTTTGTTAAAAATGAAAGCACAAACTCATTATCCTAGGCCTACACAGAGTCAGGGTCATACATATCACTGTTTCCACCTCCACATCTTGTCCCTCAGCTTGCAGTGGCAAGCTCTTCAGGGGCTGGGGCACACATGGAGCTGTCATCTCCTGTGAGAACAACACTTTCTTCTGAATACCTCCTCAAGGATCCGCCTTAGGCACTTTATAGTTAAATAGAAGGAGTACACTCTAAAATAGCAATGAAAGTATACTGTAGTAAACACATAAATCAGTAACATGATCATTTATTAAGTATTATACACTATACATAATTGTATGTGCTAGGCTTTTATAGGACTGGCAGCACAGATTTGTTTACATAGCATCACCGCAAACGTCAGTCATGTTACGATGGCTACTCAGTCACTAGGAGGTAGGAATTTTTTTAGCTGCATTCTAATCTTATGAAACCACTGTTGTATATGAGGTCTGTTCTTGAACAAAAAGTCAGTTTGTGGTGCATGACTGTATAAATGTTATATGCATAGTACTGTATATATGTTATGTTTCCCAATAAAAAAGAAAGAAGTTTACTATGATGAGCTTAATAGAGAAGAGTAGCTCTTGTGTTACATTTGGATTGTGTATTTATGATGAATTTTTTGTTTTCTCTTTAAGAGGTTCTTTATTTCTTACATATGAAGTTCTGGCCCTGAAGAAGGCTCTGACATTAGATACTCAAGTGGTAGAAAGAGAAAAAATGAAGTCATATATATATGTGCACACGATTTCTTTAGATAAAGGAGAAAATCACGGTAAGTTTATTGTAAAGTAATCTTCTCTTTGTGAAAAATGGAAGCTAGTTATTGAAATTAAAAATGAGTCTATTTAAAACACAGTATTAGTAATGTGGATTCAGCTAATTCTAAGAATCACCAAACCCCATGAAAACCAAGTTCCTAAAGAATTAATTGAGAATCAAATTTTGGACTTCTGTATTTAACCCAGGTTTGCAGCTCTCCTAAAACTAAGTGAAGACTAACTGACATTTTTAGTGTGAACCTGGAATTCCACACCTTAGTGGGACTGTCAGTACAGAGGCTGGCTTTCAGTTTGGCAAGTACAAAAAACATGCTTTTGTCATTTAGCTCAGCAATATTTCTGTTTTAAGGGATGTATTCATGCAAACCAAACTCATGAGATATATTCATTAATATGAATGCCAACTCATTTCTTTTAATTATCTGTCACGAAAGCTAGAAAACCTATCTTTATTAGTTAGGACTTTCCACTTCTCAGTATTTAGGTCACATGGAAGCCCTCATTAGTGATCATATGGTTGCGTGGCAAACATGAAATTTTAGAGCAGAGGAGTATATTTTCATCAAAATATGGGTAGCATGATGAATCACACACTTGACTCACATCTGTCTGTTCCTACCCTGTGAGCCAGAATTTACCAGTTAACATGATGTTCCTTGAGTGGGTCAGGCTCTGCTGGTCTCCTGTATCTGCCACCACTCTGCCCTGTTGTTATTAGTTATTACATCACTTTCATGTATTGCAACATGCTTTAATGGCATGTTTATAGTTTTAATTCCATAGAAAATTGTTGTTGCTTATAGTATACCTGTGTAGTGAGACCTAATTTCGTTAGTAAAGTATCTCCAAACTTCAGTTTGAGGTTGAGCTCATCATGAAGGACATTTTCTTGAATATTGCAAAACCTATGTTGTATATGAAGATTTTTATTAGTTTTAGTTAGTGTTTTTGTTTTTACTTTTCCCTGACTCAGAGAGCAGTCTCTTTTTGGAATTGAGAGCTCTGCATTTCCATAATGATTTTAGTTGCGTTGATAGTGACAATAAAAAGACAATGATGCTATTTTGTATTTTCTTTGTGAAAAAGTTTGGCGTTTATACATTTCTCTTTGAAACATTGGAGCATAGTGTTAAAAATACATTCTAAGTTTTACTTAGTTTTATAATAATTTTAGGTATTGCCTGGCAGGCAAGAAAAGAACTTCACAAAGCAGTAAGAAAAGTATTGGCAACGTCAGCCAAGATACTACGGAATCCATTTGCCGGTAAATATCAAATAAATGACTTGAAATCCTTATCAGTAATCTGAAAGTCATTGGAATGACCAATCCGAGACTTTTTCATTTCTTACACTAATATTTTCTATAGCTATGGAAAATTAATCAGGCTGGGTGCGGTGGCTCATGTCTGTAATCCCAGCACTTTGGGAAGCTGAGGCGGGTGGATCACCTGAGGTCAGGAGTTCGAGACTAGCCTGGCCAAGATGGTAAAACCCTATCTGTACTAAAAATACAAAAATTACCCAGGCATGCTGGTGGGTGCCTGTAATCCCAGTTAGGAGGCTGAGGCAGAAGAATCACTTGAACTCAGGAGGCAGAGGTTGCAGTGAGCCAAGATTGTGCCAGTGCACTCCAGCCTGGGTGATGGAGTAAGACTCTGTCTCAATAAAAAAAGAATAAAAGAAATTAATTGAGTAACATTCTCTTGGACTGTATTTAATTTTAAGGGCTCCATACTTTGGACAGTTTTCTTTCTTCCTTAGATAATTGTGAATAAACATGGAGTTAAAGTATACCCTAGGCTCTTGATGAATGTTTTATAATTTTAAATTTGTTAGAATATCACTCCCATGCCTTGTCATAATGAGCATAGTAGATAAAAAAACGTAGCTTTCTCAATCAGGTTAATCTACAATGTGGAGCTAGATAGAAAAGAGCTTATCTGATCTTAAAAAGTTGCCATGAAAATAAAAGGCAGGAAAGCTTTCTACAATTAAAAGACACTTTATTAAATCCTGGCTTTAAAAAAAGCTTTAAGGATTTTTTTTTTTTTAATTGGGGAAGCATGATTTGGGAAGATTTTTGTTAGTGTTTTTGAATGTGATAATAGCATTGTGGTTATTTAAGGGAATGCAGGATTGTTCTTAGGAGATGCAGATTGAACTGTGAAAGGGTAAAATGTCATTTTGTCTGCATCATCCTTTCAAATAGTTTGGGAAAAATTACATATGAATATAGTTTAAGAAAATATGGTAAAGACTGACGGGAGGGACGGGAGGCGACCAAGATGGCGCAGATGCAGGGCACCTGGCGGAAAGTCTGTTACTACTACGACGGGGATGTTGGAAATTACTATTATGGACAAGGCCACCCAATGAAGCCTCACCGAATCCGCATGACTCATAATTTGCTGCTCAACTATGGTCTCTACCAAAAAATGGAAATCTATCGCCCTCACAAAGCCAATGCTGAGGAGATGACCAAGTACCACAGCGATGACTACATTAAATTCTTGCGCTCCATCCGTCCAGATAACATGTCCGAGTACAGCAAGCAGATGCAGAGATTCAACGTTGGTGAGGACTGTCCAGTATTCGATGGCCTGTTTGAGTTCTGTTAGTTGTCTATTGGTGGTTCTGTGGCAAGTGCTGTGAAACTTAATAAGCAGCAGATGGACATCGCTGTGAATTGGGCTGGGGGCCTGCACCATGCAAAGAAGTTCGAGGCATCTGGCTTCTGTTACGTCAATGATACTGTCTTGGCCATCCTGGAACTGCTAAAGTATCACCAGAGGGTGCTGTATATTGACATTGATATTCACCATGGCAACGGTGTGGAAGAGGCCTTCTATACCACAGACCGGGTCATGACTGTGTCCTTTCATAAGTATGGAGAGTACTTCCCAGGAACTGGGGACCTACGGGATATCGGGGCTGGCAAAGGCAAGTATTATGCTATTAACTGCCCGCTCCAAGATGGGATTGATAACGAGTCCTATGAGGCCATTTTCAAGCCAGTCATGTCCAAAGTAATGGAGATGTTCCAGCCTAGTGCCGTGGTCTTACAGTGTGGCTCAGACTCCCTATCTGGGGATCGGTTAGGTTGCTTCAATCTGACCATCACAGGGCACGCCAAGTGTGTGGAATTTGTCAAGAGCTTTAACCTGCCCATGCTGATGCTGGGAGGAGGTGGTTACACCATTCGTAATGTTGCCCAATGCTGGACGTATGAGACAGCTGTGGCCCTGGATACGGAGATGCCTAATGAGCTTCCATACAACGACTACTTCGAATACTTTGGACCAGATTTCAAGCTCCACATCAGTCCTTCCAATATGACTGACCAGAACACGAATGAGTACTTGGAGAAGATCAAACAGCGACTGTTTGAGAACCTGAGGATGCTGCCACATGCACCCGGGGTCCAAATGCAGGCGATTCCTGAGGACGCCATCCCTGAGGAGAGTGGCGATGAAGACGAAGAAGACCCTGACAAGCACATCTCGATCTGCTCCTCTGACAAACGAATTGCCTGTCAGGAAGAGTTCTCAGACTGAAGAGGAGGGAGAGGGGGGCCGCAAGAACGCTTCCAACTTCAAAAAAGCCAAGAGAGTCAAAACAGAGGATGAACAAGAGAAAGAGCCAGAGGAGAAGAAAGAAGTCACAGAAAAGGAGAAAACCAAGGAGGAGAAGCCAGAAGCCAAAGGGGTCAAAGAGGAGGTCAAGTTGGCCTAAGCAGACCTCTCCAGCTTTGGCTTCCTGCCGAGTCCCTCACCTTTCTCCTCTAACTCCTCAGATTTTATATTTTCTATTTCTCTGTGTATTTATATAAAAATTTATTAAATATAAATATCCCCAGGGACAGAAACCAAGGCTCTGAGCCCAAGGCAGCTGTACTGGGTGAGCTTTCAGGAGTTGCCTTGCCACCCATCTTAACTTTGAACCACAAAGGGTGCCAGGTGTAAGTCAAAGGGATACTTTTATGCAACCATAAGACAAAATCCTGAAATGCCAAGTGCCTGCTTAGTAGCTTTGGAAAGGCACCCTTATTGAACATTATAGAAGGGGTGGCTGGGTTTTCAAGGATCTCCTGTTCTCTTCAGGCTCCTAAGGTAACATTAGCCATTTTTAGATTGGTTCTGTTTTCATACCTTCCCACTGGCCTCAAGTGAGCCAAGAAAGTCGCACTGCCTGCCCTCTGTCTTCCCCTAATTCTGCAGGTGGAGGTAGTCTAGTTTTCCTTTTTGAGATACTATTTTCATTTTTGTGAGCCTCTTTGTAATAAAATGGTACATTTCTATAAAAAAAAATATGGTAAAATAATAATAGCTGTCGAATCTAGATGTGATGTATGGATGTTAATTTATCATTCTTTCTTTCATATATTTGATCTTTTTGAAAAAGTTTTGGGGAGAAAAAGATTTAAAAAATGACCACATATGAAAGACACCAGAATATATAAAACAAAAGCACACATTGAGCCTGGGTGATGTAATGAGACCCTGTCCCTAAGAAACTAAAAGAAAAAGATTAGCTGGGCCTGTTGGTACACACCTGTGGTCCCAGCTACTCAGGAGGCTGAGGTGGGAGGATTGCTTGAGCCCAAGAGGTTGAGGCTGCAGTGAGCCATGATCATGCCACTGCACTCCAGCATGGGTAACAGAGCGAGACTGCCTCAAAAAACAAAGCAAAACTGAACCCCTTTTCCCCGCCTCCATAAAAAAGCACACATAATAGTCATAACTGTAAATGTAAAAGATAGTATGACAGAATTGAGAACAAATAATATCAGTCTTTATCAATACCTATATACATATGGATTTAACTCTCCAGTTGTTGATTTCAAATATTTATAAATTGCCATCTTAAAGTGAAGATAAAAGTATTATCTTAACTGTTCACATTGTCTTGGTTTCTTTTTCTTTTTGCAAAGATGCCTTTAGTACAGTTGATATAGAAGATCATGAATGTGCTGTGTGGCTGCTCCTACGGAAGAGCAAGTCAGATGACAAAATGGCGCGACTGGAGGCTGTGCGGGAAATGTCGGAGACCCATCACTGGCATGGTAATGAGACCACCTGAACAGGTGGCATGCCGTCAGCTGACTCTTGTTTTTGGATGTCAAAGACAAGGGAGTGAGATTCAGTAAGGAAAATAATTCAGGCAATCTTAGTATATATAAAAAAGTATTTAAAAAATTTTAAGAAGCTTCAGTGATACAAAAAGTAGAAAGCCTGCTGACCTAGTAGTCAAATGTGTTTGGTAAGAATAGCCTCAAAAATGAGGAATATACATTTGTGTAACTTCCTACCAGAACGAAGTTATATTTGAGTGCATACTTCTTTGAGAGAAACCCTTGATTGTGATAGTTGCCTAATGTATTTGGATTTTCTTTTGGTTTCTATTTAATGAATAAATTGAATTGCTTGCTATACCATACAATTATATTTGCTTTCAACTCTTTACAATCTACTTGGCTCTAATACTAAGAGTTAGTCAAATGTACCCAATTTGTATGTGTGTATATCATTTTTTATGGACCATTTGAAATATGTAATTGTGTTTAAAAATCACAAGTTTTCCAATAAAAATACTTTTAAAATAACTCATATATGCTTGGATTATAGTACATGGACTAAGCTATAATTTGTTAGTAAAGCTGTCTTGTAAAAATGGGCAAAATAAAAAAAAATAATTTTCTCAGCTGGGCACAGTGGTTCACACCTGTAATCCCAGAACTTTGGGAGACCAACAGAGTGGATCAGTTGAGGCCAGAAGTTCAAGACCAGACTGGCCAACATGGCAAAACCCCGTCTCTACTAAAAAAAATACAAAAAAATTAGGCATGGAGGTGTGTGCTTGTAATCCCAGCTACTTGGGAGGCCGAGGCACAAGAATTGCGAACACAGGAGGTGGAGGCTGTAGTGAACTGACATTGCACCACTGCGCTCCAGCATGGACAGCAGAGCAAAACTGTCTCAAAAAAAAAGAAAAGAAAAGAAAAAATTCTCAAAAGTTAAGTCTCAGAATGAGATCTCTGCAAATTAATTTGTTAATTGGTTGGCATCTACAATGATAATTTATAATATAAGTATAAGCTCACTTAATGTTGGTGGAGAATTAGAATAGAGATACTTTTCAAAATCTGCTTTCCAGGGCTCCATTCCAGACTTACTGTATCAGAGAAATCAGAGGAAGAGCCCTGGCCCATAGATTTTGAAAAAGTTCCCCACTTGATCCAGAAATACTCACCAAGGTTATGATTGTTATTTTTTTCAAGATAGAGTCTTGCTCTGTCAACCAGGCTGAAGTATAGAGGCATAACCTCGGCTCACTGCAACCTCTATCTCCTGGGTTCAAGCTATTATCCTGCCTCAACCTCCCAGATAGCTGGGATTATAGGTACCCGTCACCACGCCTGGCTAATTTTTGTACTTTTAGTAGAGACAGGGTTTCACCATGTTGGCCAGGCTGGTCTTGAACTCCTGACCTCAGATGATCCACCTGCCTAGGTTTCCCAAAGTGCTGGGATTACAGGCCTGAGCCATGGTGCCCGGCCAACCCCAGGTTATAAGCTGCCATTATTGAAAATAATGTTTGCTTTCGTGGCTGGAATTTTGTTTTTGATATATAAAGAATGGTGTGTTAATTCAAAGTATTGCTATCTGGAACTGCAAACTAAATATTCATGGACATTATGAATACCAAAACACCATATCATCACTATGGGGCAGTAGGCTTAAATGCAGCCTCATGTGTTTTGAGTAGCAGTCAGAACAGCTTTTGAATGCTGGAATTATTTTAAGAAGAAGTTAAATTGGTTTGACTTACCAATTTTTACCTTGAGCTTCATTTTTTCCAAAATGTTAGGCTGTGACCCAGTCCCCAGATATATGTTGAGAAGAGTTGGGAGGTCAGTCCTGGAAATGTATCTAGCTTAGAGGTATTGTAAATGTAGTTGTACTTGGGAAATTTTGGATTACACATTTGCAGAGCAGTTTAAAAATTAGAGTGCTTTCAAGTAGTTTGTTCAGTTAATCTTTATGAAATCTATAAGCTAGTTTTTGTATTAACAAAAGATATGCTTTTTCAATAGATTACCAGTATAGGATAATTGCTCAAGCCTGTGATCCGAAAACTCTTATTGGTTTGGCACGAAGCAAAGAGAGTGATCTTCGCTTTTTTCTCCTACCACCTCCTTTGCCATATTTAAAAGAGGTAAGTAAAACCATAATAATAATTTAGAGAGTGGAAAGTGGTTTAATATATTATCTTCAGTTTGGCTACAAAATGCTTTCAAAAAGTAGTTGTTGGCTGCTTCTCACAAGCAGATAAAGTAGGATGTAAAATTGAAATCATAGTTTTTATAGAAAGATTTGATTCCTCAGGAGGTGCTGTTCCTCCTATATTATATTCTGCTTTTGGTAATTGGGAGTCTGTAAAGTGTTGGGTGACTTCATAGCATATCAGCATCCATGAGTTGATCCCTTCTGAGTTTCTGTAGGTCAGGTTTTCTCAGCCTCAACACTAGTGACATTTTGGGCCAGATAATTCTTTGTGGTAGGAGGCTGTTGTGTAAATTGTAGGGTATAGCAGCATTCCTGGACTCTCTACTCCCTAGATGCCAGTAGCACCCCCTGGTTGTAACAAAATGTCCCCATACATTGCCAAATGTTCCCTGGGCAAAATAGCCCCTGGTTGAGAACCACTGTCATAGATTTAAAGCATGTTTCTTGAGTATCTTTCCTAGACTAAAAAATGAAACTCTTAAAACTTCTGTGTTAGCAGTTTTTTGAAAAATAGTAAAATGAGTATATGAGATATTATTAGAGAAAATGAGATAGTAACAAGTTCTCGATTTGAAAAGCAATAGCTTTAATTAGTAAGGATACAATAATTCATTTTGAGTCAAGATGTCGAGAATGTCAAGATGTCACTCATGAAAATTGAGTTAAAATTTACAATAGGTCTCTCAGTTTGAAGTAACAGACATGAAAATATAGAATTCAAAATTAAATGATTGTTTATTTACCTGGGCGAGTGAGTGTTTTCAAGACTGAAAGCAGTAATTTATCTCTGATATCTCTTTCCCTGTATGTCTATATCTATATCGTGTGTGTGTGTGTGTGTGTGTGTGTGTGTGTGTGTGTGTGTGTGTGGAGAGAGAGAGAGAGAGAGACATATACACACAATATATGGCTTTGATATATATGGCAAATACCGGCTTTGAGTCTTTGGATATTTTTTGTTGTACTCAGTTGTTGAGTATTTATGAAGAATTTCCTTTTCTTTTATTTCAGGATTCTTCCACTGAAGAAGAGCTCAGACAGTTGCTGGCTTCCTTACCTCAAACAGAGCTAGATGAGTGTATCCAGTATTTTACATCTTTGGCTCTTAGTGAAAGCAGTCAGAGTCTGGCTGCTCAGAAGGTTAGCTCATTTATTCATTCAGTAAATATTTTTGAGTGTCCACTCTTTCCAATGTATTGTTTCAGGGGCTAGCATTCACCCAGTAACTGAGTAAACAGGGTAACTTTTGACTGCGCGGCATGCCCTGGGCTGGATCTCAGGGATGACAGGGAGGCAGGTAAGTAAATAGTCACAGAATGTGTGAGAGAGATACAGGTAACTTCAGGAGCCCTTCACTCTGCTTACAAGGTCATTTGCAGCTTCACAGGAGGTAACTCTTAAATTGTATCTTAATGAATAGGACTGAGCGCAGTGGCTCACAACTGTAATCCCAGTGCTTTGTGAGGCTGAGGCAGTAGGATTGCCTGAGGCCAGGAGTTTGAGACCAGCTTGGGGCAACACAGTGAGATCCCTGTCTCTATAAAACATTAAAATAAAAAATGAACTGGACGTGGTAGCACGTGCCTGTAGTCCCCCAGCTGTTTGAGAGGCTGAGATGGGAGGATTACTTGAGCCCAGGAGATTGAGGCTTTAGTGAGCTATGATTGTGCCATTCTAGCCTGAGCAACAGAATGAGACCCGGTCTCAAAAAAATAAGGCTGTCAGCGAATACTGAATTCTGGTATTCTCGGTGTGTCATGTCAGCAAGTTTTTATCTTTATAAAAATCTCCTATCTCTAAGAGAAATTAGAAACGAATAACCATCATTATTAACTGCAATAACTGTGTAATCTATTCTATGAAAGGAACATATTTTGTCAGTAAAAAAACACAATATTCTATAATCTTTTACCAATTAAATGCATTTTGTCATTTTTCCCTTTTATGAGAAATTAGGGACACATCAGTAGATATGACTTGTCTAGTATACTTTGTGTAATTTCCCCTTTTGGGTCACGTCTTGGAATTGTTTCAGTGAATTATAATGGTTTTTTCTTTTTGATGGTGAGAATTCCATCACCTGACCTCTAGAGCCCTTTCTGTAGGCTGATCTTCTCTATCCTTTTAAAATCTATTCCCAAAGTGCCTGGAAGGTACCTTGGTTTTTTGACAAGATATTTCTGGCTCTTTTTGATTCTTCCTGCCCTGCAAGATTCATTTGCTTCTCCAAGAAGATCTGATTCTTCTTACAGGAAAAGATTAGAGTCCAAAACCCAGGCACTAGGTGTGCATAATAGTTCTACGTAAAGGTAGAGCTCATGGACCCTGGGGCTCCTAGACATCCAAGTAACAGAGCAGAACAATTACTTTTCTTAAAAGGCTTTAAATTTATGGTGATATTTCCAATTCAACTAGTTTTCTTTTTAATCCATATACCATAAACCCTGTAAAACTATATAGTTCATTGGGTTCTAATATACTCACAGAGTTGTACAATAATTACTGCAATCTAATTCCAGAATATTTTCACCATCCCCCAAGGAAACCCTGTAACCATTAGCAGTCCCTACCCATTCCCCTCTCCAGCCCTTGGTAAACACTAATCTATTTTTTCTATGGATTGGCCTCTTACGGACATTTCATATAAATGGAATCATCCAGTATGTGGCCTTTTGTGTCTGACTTCTTTCACTTAGCGTAATGTTTTCAAGGCTCAACCACATTGTGGCATGTCAGTGCTTCATTCCTTTTTATGGCCAAGTAATATTCCATTGTATGTCTATGCCTTATTTTATTTATCTGTTCATCAGTGATGGACATTTGGGTCATTCCTATTGTTTGGCTATTATGTATGAATAATACTTCTATGAACATTCTATTGTTTGGCTATTACGTATGAATAAAATACATAAAAAAGCAAAGCATTTTTCCTAATTTGAAAAAAAAAAAGCATTTTTCCTACTTTCTCACACCACTTAACACTTTTGACACCAGATGTGTGGAGGGTTTTTCTTTACACACTCAGCAGTTTTCCATCAGACACCAGCTTAGTGTCCTTTAATTTAGTTCATTTCTGACACTATCTACTTAGAGATGGTGTCAAAGCCCATAGGTTAAGGGCTCTGTCCCACAGGACTGCACCCCACTTCGGATGCCAGTTGCAAGTTCCAAGTGGTGAACTGTGCCTCTGATCAACCAGCCAAAAACCGGGAGTGCCTATGACTCTCTTGTTGGGTCTGATTACTCATGGAATTCAGGAAAACACCCTGCTTACCCATTTATTCTAAAGGATATGACAGAGGATGGGGATGGACAGCAGATGGTAGAGATGCATAGGGCAGGCTATGTGGGAAGGGTTGGCAAGTCTTCATGCCCCCTCCGGGTGCACCACCCTCCAGACAACTCCACATGTTCAGCTATCCAGAAGCTTTCCAAACCCTGTCCTTTTGGGTTTTCAAGGTTTTAATCAGTTGGCATGATTGATTAAATCATTGACCTTTGGTAATCACCTCAACCTTCAGCCCCTCTGTCCTCCCCAGAGGTTGGTGAGTAGGGCAGAAAGTTCCTACCCTCTAATCATGCCTTAGTCTTTCTGGTGACCAGCCCTCTTCTTGAAACTATTTAGGGGCCCTCCAGCCACCAGTCATCTCATTAGCATACAAAAGATACTCATCACTCTTGAGGGAACCAGGGGTAGAGAGCAAATATAGATTTCTTATTAGATCTCAGTATCAGCATTCATGTGCATGTCTTTGTGTGGCTGTATGTTTTTAGTCCTCTTGAGTATATACCTAAGAGTGAGATTTCTGGGTCATATAGTAACTCTGTGTAACTTTTTGAGTAACTTTCAGATGTTTTCCACAGAGACTTTACCATTTTACGTGCCCACCAGCAATATATGTCATTGTCCATCTTTTATTTTAGCCATCCCATTGTATGTGAAGTAGCTTCCTCATTCTGGTTTTGATTTGCATTTTCCTAATGCTTAATGATATTGAGCATCTTTCCATGTGCTGTTGGCACATATATCTTCTTCGGAGAAATGTCTATTCAAATCCTTGGCCCAATTTTTTTTTAACTGGTGTTTTTGTTTTTGTTTTTGAGATAAGGTCTCACTGTGTTGCCCAGGCTGAAATGCAGTAGCTATTCACAGGCAAAATCATAACGTGCACTACAGCTTTAAACTCCTGGGCTCAAGCAATCCTCCCGCCTCAGCCTTCTGAGTAGCTGGGGCTACATGTGTGAGCCACCATGGCTCCCTTTGCTCATTTTAAAATTGGCTTACTTGTCCTTTTGAAGCATCTTTTCATGTTGTAGCACCCAATTTAAAAATTTTTGTTGTTGTTGTTGTTGAATTTTAAGAGTTTCTGATATATTCTAGACACAAATCTCTTATTAGATATACTGAATTATAAGAGTTGAAATTTTTTGTTGTTGAATTGTAAGAGTTCTTTATGTTGTTGAATTGTAAGAATTCTTTATATTGTTGAATTGTAAGAACTCTTTATATATTCTGGATACAAATCTCTTATTAGATATGTAATTTAAAGATATTTGTCCCATTCTGTGGGTTGTCTTTTCACTTTCTTGAGAGTAACCTCTGAACCCCAAATGTTTTTAATTTTCATGAAGTCTGGACAGGCATGGTAACTTATGCCAGTAATCCTAGCACTTTGGGAGGATGAGTTGGGATGATCACTTGAGCCCAGGAGTTTGAGGCCAGCCTGGGCAACATAGCAAGACTGTCTCTACAAAGAACAAAAATATTAGCTGGGGCCAGGTGTGGTGGCTCACGCCTGTAATCCCAGCACTTTGGGATGCCGAGGGGGGCAGATCACGAGGTCTGGAGTTCAAGACCAGACTGGCCAACGTGGTGAAACCCCGTCTCTACTAAAAAATACAAAAATTAACTGGGCATCGTGGCTCGTGCCTGTAATCCCAGCCACTTGGGAGGCTGAGGTAGGAGAATTGCTTAAACCGGGACCCTGGAGGTGGAGGTTGCAGTGAGCTGAGATTGCATCACTGCACTCCAGCCTGGGCTACAGAGCGAGACTCCATCTCAACAACAGCAACAACATAAACATTAGCCAGTTGTGGGATGTGCACCTGTGGTCCCAGCTTCTCAGGAGGCTAAGACAGGAGGATCACTGAGCCCAGGAATTCAAGGCTGTGGTGAGCAGTAATTGTGCCACTGCACTCCAGCTTGGGCAACAGGACAAGTCTCTGTCTCTAAAAAAAAATTAAAAAAAACATTTTTGATGAAGTCCAATTTATATATTTTCTTTTGTTGTTTGTGCCGTTGGTGTCAAATCTAGGAAACTCTGGGGCTCTCACGCCAAGTAGTTTCTTAACTGAATCTGTATTCTTCCCATCTCTATTCTCATGCCCTGCTTTTCATCTCAGGGATCCGCATCAATTTCAGCAGGCCTATCTAACATCTGATAGTTTCAGCTTTGTGGGGACCCCGCTATTTATAGACCGAGTCTTGTGGACTTGGGTGCTTCCCTGTATTCTGCCGTAGTGTCTCCCACTCCCATCACTGACTTGTCTCCTGCACCCCCATGCTGGGCTCCTGGGACCTGGCCTGACATTACTATTTAGTTAATATTCCTCCACCTTCTATAGTGTTCTGTAACATTACATTTTGCCAAGTGAAGAGAGGGAAAATGGTTTAATACTCCATGCCACTTTGATTTTTTTTGAGATGGACTCTTCGCTCTGTTGCCCAGGCTGGAGTGCAGTGGTGTGATCTCGGCTCACTACTACCTCTGCCTCCTGAGTTCAAACAATTCTCCTGCCTCAGCCTCCCGAGTAGTTGGGTCTACAGGCATGTGCTACCACACTGAGATAATTGTTTTGTATTTTTAGTAGAGATGGGGTTTCACTGTGTTGGTCAAGCTGGTCTTGAACTCCTGACCTCAGTTAATCTCTCCTTGGCCTCACACAGTGCTGGGATTACAGGTGTGAGCCACTGCATCCAGCTTCACTATACTGCTTCTTTGCACAGAATTCTTGGCCTCAGCCAGTAGTTTAAAGAGTTATATCATTTAAATTGGCCTTGTGCATATGTATGTGTGTGTTCATATTAATGCATCATGTGTTTGTGTGTTTTAATATTCACCACTTTCAAGAGGCCCTGG